GTTCACAGCATCTTCACCAGGAGTAGGTTCTATCTCAAGAAACCACTTTATTTGCTCATCCATAAGAAGCAACTCCTTATTCGTTCAAATTTTATCATGAGATTGCAGCAATTCAGACACATCTTCAGGCTCCACTTCTAATCTGGATTACCTTGCTACTACCACTGCATCTGCAGTTACTTCTTCCACTGAAGTCTTGAACCACTCAAAGTCATCCATTAGGGTTGGAACCAATGTCTTCCAAACTCCTGTTCATGTTGATAGCTTGATCTCCTCCACAAATCACTTTTTTTTTTTTTTGAGACGGAGTTTTGCTCTTGTTGCCCAGGCTGGAGTGCAATGGCACAATCTTAGCTCACTGCAACTCCCGCCTCCCGGGTTCAAGCGATTCTCCTGCCTCAGCCTCCCTAATAGCTGGGATTATAGGCACCCGTCATCACGCCTGACTAGTTTTTGTAATTTTAGTAGAGGTAGGGTTTCACCATATTGGCCAGTCTGGTCTTGAACTCCTGACCTTAGGTGATCCGCCCACCTCAGCCTCCCAAAGTGCTGGGATTACAGGTGTGAGCCATGGCACACGGCCTGAATCACAATGTTCATAATGATGTCTGGAATGCTGAATCATTTCGACAAGGTTTTCAATTTGCTTTGCCCAGATACACCAGAGGAATCCCTACATATGACAGCCATTGTCTTACAAAATGTATTTCTTTAATAACAAGACTTGAAAGTAAAAAGTACTCCTTGATTTGTGGGCTGCAGAATGTTGTGCCAGCAAGTATGAAAACAACTTTAATTTCCTTGTACATCTCCCCAGAGCTCCTGAGTGACAGTTACCAGGTACATTGTCAATTAACAGTAATATTTTGAAAGGAAACTTTTATTTTCTTTTTTTTTGAGATGGAGTTTCACTCTGTCACCCAGGCTGGAGTGCAGTGGTGCAATCTCAGCTCACTGCAAGTTCCGCCTCCTGGGTTCGTGCCATTCTCCTGCCTCAGCCTCCTGAGTAGCTGGGACTACAGGGGCCTGCCACCACGCCCGGTGAATTTTTTGTAGTTTTTTTAAATAGAGACGGGTTTTCACCATGTTAGCCAGGATGGTCTCGATCTCCTGACCTTGTGATGCACCCGCCTCAGTCTCCCAAAGTGCTGGGATTACAGGCGTGAGCCACCACGCCTGGCCCCGAAAGGAATCTTTTCTTCTGAGCACTAGGGGTCCACGGTAGGCTTATTCAGTAAACCATGCTGTAAACAGATGTGCTGTCATTCAGGCTTTTTTGTTCCATTTAGAGTACACAGGCAAGGTAGATTTAGCATAATTCTTAAGGGCCCTAGGATTTTTAAAATTGTAAGTGAGTATTGGCTTCAACTTCAAGTCACCAGTTGCATTAATCCCTAATAAGTGAGTCTGCCTGTCTTTTGAAGTTTTGAAGCCAGGCATTGATTTGTTGCCTCTTGATATGAAAGTCCTGGGTGGCATCTTCTTCCAACAGAAGGCTGTTTTTTCTACAAAGTCTGCTGTTTAGTTTAGCTGTCTTTGTCAATTCTCTTAGCTAGATCTTCTGGATAACTTGCTGCAGTGTCTCCATCACCACTTGCTGCTCAACTTGCACTTTTATGTTATGAAGAAGGCTTTTTTCCTTAAACCTCATGAACCAACTTCTGCTAGGGGCCAACTTTTCTTCTGCAGTTTCCTCACCTCTCTTGACCTTCATAGAACTGAAGAGAGTTAGGACTTTGCTCTGGATGAAGCTTTGGCTTAAGGAGATACTATGTCTGGTTTAATCTTCCACTCAGACCACTAAAACCTTCTCCATGTCAGCAATAAAGCTGTTTCCCTTTCTTACCATTCATGTGTTCACTGGAGTAGTACTTTTAATTTCCTTCAAGAACTTTTCCTTTGCCTTCACAACTTGGCTGACTCTTTGGTACAAGGGGCTTTGCTTTTGGCCTGTCTTATCTTTTGACAGGCCTTTCTCACTAAGCTTAATAATTTCCAGCTTTTGATTTAAAGTGTGTGAGAGATGTGTGAGTCTTCCTTTCACTTGAACACTTAGGGGCCGCTGCAGGGTTACTAATTGGCCTAGTTTCAATATTATTGTGTCTCAGGGAATAGGGAGGCCTGAGGAGAGGGAGAGAGACAAGAATAGCCAGTGGATGGAGCAGTGAGAACACACACAACATGTATTAAGTTTGCCAACTTATATGGGTGCAGTTTGTGGCAATCCAAAACAATTACAATAGGAACATCAAAGATTACTGATCACAGATCACCATAACAGATATAATAATGAAGAAGTGTGAAATATTGCAAGAATTACAAAATGTGATAGACACACAAAATGAACACATTGTTGGAAAAGTGACACCTATAGACTTGCTTGCCATAAGGTTGTCATAAACCTCCAATTTGTAAAAAATGCACTATCTGTGAAGTGCAGTAAAGCAAAGTGCAATAAAACAAGGCATGTTTGTATACTTAAAAACCTGAAGGATATTAGGGAACTAACTAATTATTCTGAAGATTGGGAAATAATGGTAAAAATCACACATTTATCCTATCTTTCCGTATAAACTGCATATTTAATTAGATGAAGTTCTTTATTTTAAAATAATTTGTTAGTAAATGTAGAGTGAATATCAAATTAGAATATCACTATTTGCAACTCATAACAAAATGATGGATGTAGGCAATAATCATGAATGACTGCTAAAACTTAGCTGAAAAGTTGATGGAAAACTTTATGATATTTATAATAAATATATTTCTCAGAAATTTAGTATTTAATATAATTATATTTATCATAATTATATATCAATGTCATATATTTATAAATATATGTGCCATATTTTATATTTTTATAATATTTATATTATTTATCATAAATGTTATCAGGTTGACATCTGAACCCAATGATCAAGTATAACATTAAAAGTATAACATTAAAAAAAGTATAACATTAAAAAAAGACAGACAACCAGAAATTGTAAGCCTCTTGAAGTAATTCAATACAAACTATAACACCTAAAAAGTCTTTTGTGAAAAAAAGATCAAACTTTAATCTGAGTATTCTATTAACTACCAGTTTGCAAGAAATACAGGGGGAAAGGTCACCACAGGAATATAATATGCAAAATTCAGAATGTGGAAAATTCTATAGAACAAATGATCATTACTCTTCAGCAAATAAACTGCCAGAAAAAAAGGGGAAGAGGAAGAAGTCCATAGATTTTTAAAAATCAAATGTGATGTGGAGACTTTGTTTAGATGAATCAACTGGAAAACAAAAAATTTCTGAGGCAAGTAAGTAAATTTGACATTGAATGTTTCTTTTATGTTATTACAGAATTATTGTTAAATTTGTAATACTAGGGATATTGAAGTTGTGTTGTTTTTCAAAGCCCTTGTATTTTAGATATAATTCATATTTCCAAAAAGTTTATTTTTAAATATTTGTCATCAAAACAATATGGGGTCTGGAATTTACTTCAAAACAATCCTAAGAACTGGGAGAACTATATCTTAATAATTGTCGACTCTGGATCATTAATACACGAGAGTTCACTATACTAACCTAACGTATTTGAATGCAAAGACTGGGTACTCCGAGTGAAGTGACTAAACCTTTCGGACCACCAGTCTAGTCACTGAAATTATTAAAGATTGAAGACAACTAGTCACATAAAGAAGCACAGGGCAGCCAGGTGGCTCACGCCTGTAATCCCAGCACTTTGGGAGGTCAAAGTGGATGGATCACTTTGAGGTCAGAAGTTTGAGACCAGCGTGGCCAACGTGGCAAAACCCCGTCTCTAATAAAAATACAAAAATTAGCTGGGCCTGGTGGCGCAGGCCTGTAATCCCAGCTACTTGGGAGGCTGAGGCAGGAGAATCACTTGAACCCCCGGGGAGGCGGAGGTTGCAGTGAGCCAAGATCGTACCACTACACTCCAGCCTGGGTGACAGATTAAGACCCCGTCTCAAAAAAAAAAGAAAAGAAAAGAAAAGACAAAAGAAAGAAAGAAAGAAAAGAAAAGCAGCTTCACGCTGAGAAGGAGTTTCCAAGGGTAAAATCAGGGTGGGAAACAATGATAAATTGTAAGAGACCCCTGTAGCTGTTGCTGATAACCAAGGAGAGAGTTTAGCAAAGGAAAAAGCCCGGTCTGGAAGTTAGAAGACCGCCAACATCTAGTTTTGTAATCTCGGACTCATAACTTCTGTAGGTTTTGGAGCATAAAAGCACAGGAACTGAAATAATAAATAATGACAATAATTTTGTTGTGGGTGCCCGCCCTGCACTTCACAACATCCTAAGAGCTTTGGATGTATTATCCTATGTAAACCTCACAATCCAAGGTGTTGTGGGCGATTGATACATACTTTTTAAAGGACTATGAATGAGTTACGCGTCAGTACATGATACCAGTTTTCACACGGGGTGATTGATTAAGGTGTTATAGAGGCCAAATATCTCTTTTAAGACTGACTTGGTATAGTCAATATTCCAAGATTATTTAACAGAAAAGAATGCTTTCAGCACTCAATTGCACCGGACTGTATTGGAGAGAGGGCTGGGAGCTGGGTGCCAGACGCTGGGAAATTTATCATTGCTTCCTCAGGCCTACGGTTTTCCGATCTCCTGCACCACGTTCTATCTATACATCACAGTCTCAGGAAAAGAATTTTCAGACCTTCACTCAGCGCCAATCCTTTAGACCTCAATCTCTCCCGCGCGGGCTCCCAAACACCTCCCCCCGCAATCTCCGCCCCTTCTCCGGTTGCGCACAGCCTGTGGGCTTCAAACTACAACTCCCATAAAGCCACGGGAAGACCCCGGGTCGCCACAGGAAATCGAGAAGGCTGCATCCGGCGCCAGGAAAAGCGAGTGGGATATCCCAATCCTTCGACTGCGATATCCCAATCCTTCGACTGCGATTGCCAGTGGGATATCCCAATCCTTCTGATCAAGATATATATCTCTGGTCTCTTCACCTTGACGATATCCCAATCCTTCGACTGCGATATCCCAATCCTTCGACTGCGATATCCCAATCCTTCGACTGCATCCTGGCCGCCTCTACTTGGTCACCTTTGGGTTAGTAGAAGCAGCGGCGAGTTAGTCGTCTCAGTGTCCCCTCTGGGGACAGTGACCAGTTTCCTGGGCTCTTTGGTTCCCGCGCTGCCCTGAGTGGCCCTGCTGGGTAGTGTGGCGCAGCCTCCTAGTGTGTTGGTGGGCGCAGGCGCAGGAACGACAGACGCATTTGCAGGGACTCCTGGGACAGGGCGGAGGCGCAGGTGGTCCTGAGGTTAGTAGAGTTTCCTGCCCTAGCTGAGATGGGGAAAAGGAAGCGCTACTTAGGGAGTGATTTCACCTCGAAAGAAGGAACCTAACAGTAGTGGCAAGAAAGTACAATATCTCAAGGCGTGCTACCATTTTCCGAGACCGTGCACAGGTGGCGCTTAATTGGTCTTGAGTGCCCAGGGAGTGGATGAAATTCGTTAATTGATGGTCAGTGACTTCAGTGACAGAGCGATATTTGAAGTCTTGTCCTGTCCCACTCGGTCTATGAGAGCATGCGCAAGTCATGGGCCCCGGGTTACACGTCAGTAAAAGTGGATGTTGGTTTGTTAAAAATTTATGTCCCTTTAAATCTAATATTCTTTTAAATGATTTCTCGGAATAGTCCTTGAGCTTCTTGGAAAACAAGAGCAGCACTTTATTCTGCCTTCAAATCCTTACCTTCTATAACCTGCCAATGAGAATTGAAAAAGTAAATCAAACAGTAGAATTGGGTGTTAGAGTTTATGTGCTTCTCTGGAATGAATAATGGTACTGTCTCTAGATGACTTTTCTGCTGAGAAAGCAAGAGGGAAAAGTGTACACTTTCCACTTCTATCTCCACAGAATAGCATATGCATAAGCATTGCCCTGGAGGTAGTGAATGACGCTGTACTTTTGAAGGACAATTTTGCAGTCACCTAGCGCAGCCTGTGAGAATGTGAGGGAGTGACCGTGACCCTGGAACATGAGACAGTGAAATATTATTCAAAATAAACCTAGCTGAAAAAACTATAATATGGATTTTTGGAAAATAAGAGAAAGACAATTTGAAGGGAGATCAGTACAGGAGCTGTACAGCAGTGCTTCAAAATAAAGTCCTGAAAAGTTAAAGCTTTTGTTATACATAATATTTTTAAAGTATTTAGAAATTTCAATATGAAAGGAATAGCGAAGTAAATTCTAGAGTAAGTCAATTATTCTCTCATGTAGATATTACTTCTGGTAATTTAATTTCTAAACAGATTTCCACTATTAGGTTTTATCCAAGTGTTTCCATGACTCTGAGCTGTTTTAACCTATTTATAAGTAGCAGAAAGACTCAAATAGGAAAGGTGAACAGCTCCAAAATAAGAAAATTAATCTTTACTCCTTGTTTTCCCTAAATTTTGTTCATACTATTCCTGTTATGCAATTCATCAGCCAGATTGCCCTTTCAGAACCCAGGAGACAGCAGCTATCAAAAACTATGGGCTATAACAGTTCTGTCTTTTCAGCTTAAAAATCTTATTACTTAGAATAATAGAAATGTAGTTAGAATCCCAAATCTTTTCTTAATAACATTTCATAGAAAGAAAAATTGTACCTTAAAAAAATACTTTGAGAAATTCACAGACAGTTGAATCATTAACCATTTTCACCATCCCCCCACCAAAAAAGAAAAAAAAAAAAAAGCTCAGTTTGTGCCCAACTATCTGCAGTCCATGATTAGGCAATGTTTAAGATGTGTGGGGCAGTTATTTCGGGGGGTTTTCCACCACTGAAAAGAGGGACAAAGCAGATAAAGTTAATGAGTTTTAAAAGCTGCTCTGATTCAAGGACAACAAAGTGATCAACAGAACTGTCCAATAATAGAACCAAAAATAAATGGTCATCTGATTTGTGACAATATTTGTCTCAGTACAGTACAACAAAGATGGAAATGTCAAGAATAATGCTGAGTCATATGGATTATGCATTGGGTAAAAAAGTGTCTTGACCCCTACCTCACGCCATGAACAAAAATAGATCCTAGATGGATTACAGAATTAATTGTGCAAGGTCAAACAATAAACTGTTTTCATGTGAAACTTAGAAAATCTCTGCCTTTACTTCCATCTATTTTAATGTTCTCCCTGTCATGTCCCCACCTCATCATGAAGTCCCCTCTGGTCTACCCTAAATACTTCATCCTTATGTAATATGTTACCTGGTTCCCCCTCCCAAGGATATGGTCCCCTCGTCTGTGCTATCAAAGCTCTTTATACATTATTTTGTGTAACTCCCATGAGCATATAAATTTCATTGTATTTGTAATTCTAAACTGATAACATTTTGAAATTGAAATGTATGCTGTTTAATGATTGCCTTTTGAAGAGTATATTGCCTTGGAAACCATTGCTGCTATTCTAACAATATCATTCATTGACAAAAAAGCAGTTGCAAATAAGCTTTTTCCCCCTATTTTCCTTCTTTTAAGGAAGAAATGTCTTCTGTAAAAAGAAGTCCAAAGCAAGAAATAGTTACCCAGTTTCACTGTTCAGCTGCTGAAGGAGATATTGCCAAGTTAACAGGAATACTCAGTCATTCTCCATCTCTTCTCAATGAAACTTCTGAAAATGGCTGGACTGCTTTAATGTATGCAGCAAGGAATGGGCACCCAGAGATTGTCCAATTTCTGCTTGAGAAAGGGTAAACATTTTAGGCTGTACCACCTGAAAGGGTTTGTGGTTTAATTTCTTTGTTACATATTTACTTTTAAATTTTGCTTGTTTCCATATTTATATTGTTGAACTACTAAATAACTCATTGGCTAATTTGTGTAAACATGTAGCACAATTTTTCTAACTTAAAACTGTAACCTTTTTCACTGAGAAATTATTACTTTATAGCAAAGCAAATTTATGAGGAGTCTAATAATAAATTTTTCTCCCAAATAGAAAATGCAAATCTCACTATGACTACCAAGGACTTCTTGTAGAATTTTGATATCTCTTTGTAGTACATAAAACTTAATGCTGTTTTATTTTGTGAGTAATTATCCAGAAAGTGTAAGTATCCACTGTCTCTTTTTATCATTTATGATTATTGTTCTAACCTTCCCAATAGTAAACTATGTAACACAAGAAAAAAAATCTATGTAATCATTAAAAAGAAGGACTTTAATGTGCATCTGGAAATACTTTATTGAAACAAATACAGGAGAAAGTGTTTACTTCCTATTTTACTTTTTCTCCCCATTTTTTCTTCCATCTGTAGGTGTGACAGATCAATTGTCAATAAATCAAGGCAGACTGCACTGGATATTGCTGTATTTTGGGGTTATAAGCATATAGCTAATTTACTAGCTACTGCTAAAGGTGGGAAGAAGCCTTGGTTCCTAACGAATGAAGTGGAAGAATGTGAAAATTATTTTAGCAAAACACTACTGGACCGGAAAAGTGAAAAGAGAAATAATTCTGACTGGCTACTAGCTAAAGAAAGCCATCCAGCCACAGTTTTTATTCTTTTCTCAGATTTAAATCCCTTGGTTACTCTAGGTGGCAATAAAGAAAGTTTCCAACAACCAGAAGTTAGGCTTTGTCAGCTGAACTACAAAGATATAAAGGATTATTTGGCCCAGCCTGAGAAGATCACCTTGATTTTTCTTGGAGTGGAACTTGAAATGAAAGACAAGCTACTTAATTATGCTGGTGAAGTCCCGAGAGAGGAGGAAGATGGATTGGTTGCCTGGTTTGCTCTAGGTATAGATCCTATTGCTGCTGAAGAATTCAAGCAAAGACATGAAAATTGTTACTTTCTTCATCCTCCTATGCCAGCCCTTCTGCAATTGAAAGAAAAAGAAGCTGGTAAGAAATGAATGCTGCTTTTTGTTGGTAAAATCTGGTTTTTAGAATTGAGTTGGAATTGTATGTATTTGCACTTTCCAGGGCTACTTTTTTTCCAATAAGCAGTGAAATTAGACTGTCTTCATCAGAAACCTCCTAAAGTTCTCACCGTAGGGGACTACTCTCCTGGGCAGTTAGTAGTTCTAATCAGCCCAGACTGATTTCCTGAGAATTAACACTGGTGCATGATGATCTCATTTGATTCCTCAGTAAATAATTCTTGAGTTCCTGCTACACACAGAACATGATGGCAAAGACCTTGACTGTTTTGATTTGTTTTGTATTCTGTTGCTGGGGCTTTTTATGGCATGGTAAGAAATTAGAGTTTGATTCTAAAGTCCATTTAAATGTAACCTAACCTGTATTTAAATTTTTTTAAAAAACAAAACACTGCACTGCACACTGACTGCATCATAGAGCATAAATTGGACACATGTAAGTAAGTGTGAAAGTTGGGAGTCTTGTTAAGAGGTTAAGAGGTAATTGAGTATTACAATTGCCCAAGTAAGAGATTGCAATGGCTTGAGTTAGAATGGAGGCAGTGGAGATGGAGACAAAGGGAGAATTTGAGATATTCTCGAGGTAGAATGGATAGGGCTTGATCTGTAGGTTGAGACCCTTATAAGTGAGAGATGGTGGTAATATGGCATGAATTAAGGTACTGATAGTAGAAATGGAGGAAAGAGGGTATATGCAAGATAAATTTTGGAGATAAAATCAATGGTCTTTGCTATTGAATTGGATATGGGATATATAATAATGAAGGAAAAGATTAAGAATGACTGCTAGGCTAGAGACTTTAATAATTTGGTATATAGTGATACCATTTCTCAATAATATGATGAGTAGAGCAAGGAAAGCAGGATAGACTTGGAGTAAATACATCAAGAGTTTACTTTTGGGCATACTAAGTTTTAGAAATGGACATTAGAATCAGATGTCTGAACTGGAAATACCCATATGGCAGTCATCAACACAAAGATACTTAAATCCCAGAAAACTACTGAGATTACTTGGAGAGTTGAGAGGAAGCAAGAAAAACTCTCAGAGTAAGACCTGAATCCCCCTAAATTTAAAGGTAAGCTGCAAGCAGGAGAGCCATCAAAGGAGTTGGAAACAGTGTGGCCATGAGGTAGGAAGAGACCAAGAGGCCTCAGGGAAACCAAGACAGCAGAGTATTTCCAGGAGGGAGTGGTCAAATGTATTGAATGCTGTTATGAACTTGAGTAAGATGAAGGCAAAGTTTTGTGGGTTTTTTTTTTTTTTTTTAAGAATCTTTGTCTTTGGTAATATAAAGCTATTGATGAACTTGACAAGAGAAATGTCAGTGGAGTGAAAGGAACGGAAGCCAGATTATGGTAGATTGATAAGTTAATGGGAAGTTAGGAAGAGGTCACTTGTCAGTGACCACATTCCCTTAGGTGATAGAGGTCCTGCCAGAGACTGCTTAAATATCTCCGTCTCAAAGTGTGATGTGGTATGTTTTATTCTCCACACCTGTGCAGAAATCATCAAGCTTTTTAAAGAAAATTTACTTTCTTTAGACATGTATATATCACTTTAAGATAAAAAAGATATGATAAATGAGCTAGTTGCTTGCTTTTTTCCCTTGTAGGAAAACTGAGGCCTTTTAACTCACTTGCTCTATAACTTTATACAGACTTAACTTTTCTGTGACTCAGTTTACTCCTACAGAAAATAATAATAGTACCTATCTTCTTTAGGGTTGCTCTAAACATAGGATAATCTATAAATATTCCTTGCATGATGCTTGGAACATTGTAAGTACTCAATAAATGTTAGCTTTTCTTTTTGTGATGATTCTGAAATAATGTAAATACCCTAGCATGTTACATATTATAAGGTTAGGTAGCAGGCAAAAATGTAACGTCGTCTGTTCATTACAACTGTTTTATGTTTATTTTTCCCAGTTTAAACGATGTTAGAATTTTAATTATTATTTTGTTCATTTCAAAAATCTGTAGACCAAATAATGTATTTTAGGGAGGTGACTTTGTCAAACATTTAAAATATAGCATTTCTAGTCTTATTGCCTCAACTGTAATGTTTCTGGCCAGATCGTATTAATTCTTTTTTGAACTACCAGAGTAAAACCTATAGCTAAAGTGTGTATATTTTAAGATTTATCCTATTAGGCATTTTTTGGTAAACAAAGTTAACCATGAACATAGTAAATGCAGTGTGTTTTATACTGTGTACATGCAGTCTCCAGTTGAAAACAGGTTCTGTTCCACACAGCGTCGACCATCAATGGCATAGTCACCAAGAGAGTGGTGATAGCCTCCTACAGTTTCCTAGTAATATTTCCTTTAGAGTACAAATCTCAAGAACTGCTTTTGTGGTATATTTTTATTAAAATCACTATTGTAAAATCACTGTTTGTAAACTTACTCTACACTAGAATCATGAATACCCCAACTTTTAAAATCACCTACACTAAAAGCCTGATCTAATGTATGATGTAAGATAGATGTTAGTACTTCTATCTTATATGAGAGTTATATTTTATTCAAACTAAACTTGAATCTAATTTTTGTCATCCAGAAAATTAAATCTTTTACTTTAAAAGAAAAATACACATTATAAAAATAGAAACACTAAAATACCTGATCACATAGCTATTCTTATTGTAACTTGAGAATATTTTACTTATATATTGATTTTAATTTGTCACAGAATTAAAATTTTTGTGCTTTTTTTTTTTTTTTTTTTTTTTGAAGGGGTTGTAGCTCAAGCAAGATCTGTTCTTGCCTGGCACAGTCGATATAAGTTTTGCCCAACCTGTGGAAATGGAACTAAAATTGAAGAAGGTGGATATAAGAGAGTATGTTTAAAAGAAGACTGTCCTAGTCTCAATGGCGTTCATAATACATCATACCCAAGAGTTGGTAAGCCCTTTATTTTATATCTCCGCCACCTGGATCTTGGGGAATAGGATATTCTGGAAAGAGAAAATTTGTGAGGAGCCAAAAAGTTTTCCTTTTTATGGAAAACATGTCTAACCATTAAGAATGTAAGTGTTAAAGTGTAACCTACTTTCATGATTTGTAATTAAAAAACATGGTATATTCAATAGCCATTTCTTAACTTTGGGTTACTCACTATGAACCTGATATGTTATGATACATGATTTCAAAAGTCGACCAGTGTGGCTCCACTTAATGGAGAAAAAGCCCCAACAATTTCTTGCCTGTTTGAGGCATTACCATAGCAGTACAGCCTGACCCTAGCTTTTCACTACTGTTAATGTCTGCCTGTATTCTCTCTTCTAATTGCTGCTTTGAGTCTGCCGTAGGTTTGGAAATCTGATAACCCAGACCTTTAAAACTGTGTGAAAAAACGATAGGTAGGCTCAGCAACACCTGAGGAGGCCTCTGGGGAGAAAAATAACATGGCTTAGTGACATCTGTTTTTGTTGCTCAAGAGCCTTTTACATTTAATTCCTAGTTCTTAGTCATGATATAGTGAGAAGAATTTGCTGAATTAGTAACTTCTAGAGAGATGAACTGTTAAATTTTATTTAACGACTTAAATCTAATCATAGAACCATATTAGCTTTTAAAAACATTTTGTTAAGGGTTAGGATGGGAGAGGGAAATTATTTACAGTGGTAAAATTTGAATTTTCCTTATTTGCATGTATTACCTACTCAAAGTTTTTCTCATTAAAATAACAATACACCTAACATCCATAAGTACAAAATAAATGTTGATGTTAAGATTGGGGGAAGAAGGACAAAAATGGTCTTCTGCTAGCTTATTGACACTATTCTGTACAATTTCGCTGAGATATTCTGTTGTCAGCTACATTAGGGCAGAAAGAAGCAATCTCTTACAACCAGACAAGGGTTCTATCCCTATAGGAGATACACCTTTATTTTATCCTATCAGACAGTGTTTGCACATGAATCTAAATTCGTTTTTCCTGCCATTCATATATATGATTTTTTTTTTTAAACAGATCCAGTAGTAATCATGCAAGTTATTCATCCAGATGGGACCAGATGTCTTTTAGGCAGGCAGAAAAGATTTCCCCCAGGCATGTTTACTTGCCTTGCTGGATTTATTGAGCCTGGTAAGCCTTTTCTTAATAATTTCTATTTAACTTATGATTTCAAAATACAAAGTTTAGATAACATTTAATAATCTCTGATAAATTATGTTATAAAACTGGGTTATTTTAAAGTATTTTAAACATGATACAATTTCAGTAATAGTTTAAACATGTAATTCTCATGTTTTATATGAGAATTACATAAATTGCTTTTCCTAGTAATTGGATCTGCTTTGTTAAAAATTCAGTATTTGCTCTTTGATATGTTGCTCTTGACCCAGGTATCTAGGTTCCACCTCATTTCCTAGACTCAACTGTCACCTTTTCGAAGAGGCCTGACTTAATTGCCCCAGATACATTAGGTAGCCCCCATACCCTGCATTCACAATCCCTATCATCCTGCCTGATTTTTCCCTAGGGCACTCATCATCACCTAATATACTACGTATGTACTTATTAATTTATTATCTGCTGTCTCAAGAATATAAGTTTCATTAGCACAGGGACTTTATTTTATCCACTGCTATGTATGAAACCCTCATAGCACATGCCTATAGCACATGTAGTAGGTCAGTAAATGTTTGTGGAGTGAATATGTCTAAGTAATAAATGTTTTATCTCAATTTCAGTTTCCAATATTTGCATTACTAGATAATAGTAAACATACAGTATCAGGCTGTGTTCTGGAGAAGGATCATATCATATATATAAAACAGTATCAGGCTGTGTTATATGTATATTTTTTGTATGATCTTCATACAACCTTATAAAATACACTATTACAGTGATTTTGCAGATAAGGGCACTAAGGCATAGGGACGAAATAATTTGCTCAAGATCAAACAGCGAATAAGTGATAGGGAAGGGATTTAAACCTGGGCATGTTGGCTTCTGAGTTCTTGCTGCAAATCCCTATACTGTCTTTAGTAGTTCTAGGTCATTGTCATTGTCTTAACTGCTGGGTAGTAATCCATTCATGAATATTCCATTATTTATCCCTTCTGCTGATAGGACATTTAAAGTTCTTATTACAAACAACACTGCAATTAATATTTTTATACTTGTGCACACTTGCAAGAGTTATCTAGATTGTATACATAGAGTAGCACCACCAGCTTATGTGATATGAGCATCTTACCCTTTTCTGTATATTGCCAAGTTGTCTCTGAAGTGTTTCTGCCAATTTATACTTCCTCCAGCAGAACATGAAATGTTGCATTATTCCACATCTTCACCAAGTTAGGATTTTCAGACTTTTAAATTTGTCATTCTGAGGGGTGAATGAAATTGTATCGCGTTTTCGTTTTCATTTTCTTGCCGATGGTACATCTTTTTTCAAATGTGTATTAGGCATTCAGTTTTCATTTCTCTGAATTTTAGATGTTTGTCTTTTACCTAATTTTGTTTTCATTGTTTATCCTTTTTTATTAATTTTAAGAATTCTTAAATATGAAGCATATGCGAATCTTTTGTTAGTTATAGTTTTACAAATACCTTATGCTAGTCTATAATTATATTTTTACTATATGTGTTCTTTTGATTATTGTAAGTTGTTAATTTTTTTGTAGGAAATTTATCAATCTATTTGAAATAGCTGTATTTAAAATATATTTTGCTAAATACAGCAATATTTAGCAAAATGTTTCTAAACTTCCAGATTTTACTTAGAAATGATTTTACTTAGAAATGATTTCACCTATTCTAATTCTTAAATCCAACAAATTAGAAATATAAAGTACATTTATAGGCATCACTTTATTTTATCATGGCAGAGTCAGCAGTCATCTAGAGGGAAACAATTGCTTAGAAAAAGTATTATGTTTCATCTTATGTAGTTTTTAATCTTTTAATGACCTGACAACATAATAAAAAGAGTTTGAAAATTTTAGTGTGAAAGAGCTATTTGTAAAAATCATGTAATTTATATCTCTTTAGTGGACAATATATACATAAGATCAGATATAAAGTGTTTGCATAGTGTTTAACCAATATTATGTGTTGGATATTTTTAGATGATATCATTATTTTAAAAATATAACTGACAAATTTGGACCTTTAAAAAATGAAAAGTTTATTGTTGGCATTTTCATATTCTATATGTGGTCATGTACTTTAAAAATTTATGTTTTCTTCAATTACAGTCTAGTTTTAGGCTTCTGCTTTATGATTATTTGAATTGGGTTTCTGTCCAAAGTGATTTCCAGATGTTTGAACGATTCAGGACACAAAGTGTCCAAGGCATGTTCATCAGCAACTTGTTCTTTTGCTCCATTTCATTAGGAGAGACAATAGAAGATGCTGTTAGAAGAGAAGTAGAAGAGGAAAGTGGAGTCAAAGTTGGCCATGTTCAGTATGTCTCTTGTCAGCCATGGCCAATGCCTTCCTCCTTAATGATTGGTTGCTTAGCTGTGGCAGTGTCTACAGAAATTAAAGTTGACAAGAATGAAATAGAGGATGCCCGCTGGTTCACTAGAGAACAGGTAAAGTTCAATTTAATTTCCTTCTTCTATTGATTGTTCCCTGACTGTATTGGTTTGGGCACAGAACAAGGATGCATATTTTCAGCAAGTTGAATGATGGCTTTGGCCCTCTCATTATGCATGGATTACATGGTAATTAGTAATTCCATACAGGAGGAGTATGTTTCACTAATGTGATCTATATTAACTTATTCTGTGAGATTTTTCTAGTAGAGATGATTCTGTACCATTTCACATTTTAGATTGCATTCCTACACATTAATAGTACCTATCAGTGGGCTTAAACATTAATTCATAGATGAGAAACAGGAATATTCTCAAACCTTTTATATTTTAGTTTATAACATTAAAACAAGCTCTCAAAAAAACATCAGTAAGTGCTTAAAATTTTCAGAAAGTTTTTATTCATCTTAAAATGTACTTAAGGCCAAGAATGACATAACTGTATAATAAACATACACTTAAAATAACTTTTTAAAGTGCCATTCCTAAATAATATATGGAAAGATAGATTACTCATCTGACCTGAAATTCTTTGACTTTGCCTGCATAATATTCTATGCTTAATCCAAAAAGATGGAAGTTAGATTATTGCTTATGAATTTTATAAAAAAGAATCTGTTTCAAAAGTTGGCTTCACTTAGAAATTAAGTGTGGAGCATACATTTTGCTTTTTCATGATGTCATTTTTCATAAGGGAATGTGTCTTTCTGGAACATTTTAAAAATTGAATCACTAACTCAGTGAAGGAGTTAAAAATGCTGTACTAAATTTTTCATGTTGAGGCTGGGTGTGGTGGCTTATACCTGTAATCTCAGCACTTTGGAAGGCCAAGGCAGGAAGCTTGATTGAACCCAGGAGTTTGAGACTAGCCTGGGCAACATAGGGAGACCCTGTCTCTACAGATAATTTTTAAAAAGTTAGCCGGGTGTGGTGGTGTGCATCTATGGTACCAGCTACTTGGGAGGCTGAGGCAGGAGGATCGCCTGAGCCCAGGAGGTCAAAGCTGCAGTGAGCCTGATTGTACCACTGCAACTCCAGTCTGGGTGACAGAGTGCAAGACCTTGTTTCAAAAAAAAAAAAAAAACTTTGCCTGTAAATATGGATGTTGTCACTTTCTACTGTTATTCCCCATAAAACTCATCACATTTTAATTGAATTATGTAAGTATGGAAATAGTATTTAAATATGACAGCTTTGAAATCCTAATGCATTCTATTATGGTGTGTTTTAGGTCCTGGATGTTCTGACCAAAGGGAAGCAGCAGGCATTCTTTGTGCCACCAAGCCGAGCTATTGCACATCAATTAATCAAACACTGGATTAGAATAAATCCCAATCTCTAAATCTAAGAACTAAGCTTTGAGTATTATTTAATAATTTCTAATAACACTCATTCCTTAAGTGATATTAGAGATTATTCAGTACTCTTGAGAGTGTCACAACACAGAATATCATGTTGGGTTTGGAAATAGTTTCAAAATGTTCTTCTGTCTTAATCACAAATTCATATTTTTACAAATTACAATATTGCCTCAGGTTATGTTAAATCTGGGTCAGCCTTCTCTGAACTTTTTCTTTCTTCGTTGTTCTTCACAGTTTTATCTCAGAAAACCATTTTTCTAATAACAGACATCATGTTGGAAAGAAGTATGTTCTAGAAATGTGCGTAAATTTCACTGCCTCTTATAAGCATTAAATTGATGATGAAGAAAGTTCTTGATTTGAGAAATGAAACAAAAAATTTTAATGAATTTTTAGCTTGTATTAGCTTGTATTGATTTTTTTGTCCTTTTGTTATCTTTAAGTTGTCAGTATCTGGTTTTTGCTCATCTCCCCATTGTAGTCCCACTTGCTCTTTCCTGGGGGTTCCATTGTTCTAGCAGTGGAGGTGTTATAGTGTGGCCACTTGTCTAATTTGACCAGTGTTAAGAATTTTCGAATTTAATAATTAACTCTAATAGAGATTTCAGTACCACACCCTCCTGGAAGGAGAAAAGCATACTATTTTATCTAGGACCTCTCTTTTAAACCTAAAATTAATTAACACATCTACTTATATGTTACTTATACCTAAAGCTGTTATTAAGACAAATCAAGATTCTCTGCTTTTGCACTGAAATTAAACTTGAAAGGAATTCTCCTGAAAGGTCGGATATTAAATAAGTCCCAGGCAGATTTACATATTTAATTGAAAACATTGGCTTTATTTCATTTTGTGATGAGTGATGTATCTGTGTTAGCAAAAAATCGTATAATCATTACCAATAATATTTATTATTCTCAAATATATCTTGGCTTTGACCTTATTTCAACATATTCTAAGAAGCCTTGATAAGTATATTTTAGAGCTGAATCAGTAAGATTCTAGAGAAAGCAAAACATAGTACACAATTTTGCAACATAGAAAGTCACATTTTATAAGGCTATTTTGAAATTGATTTAATAGCTATTATAGTTTATGAATATCAAAATTTGTATAATTTGGATCTTTACTAATGAAAGCTAGCGCTGGAAGAGACCTCAAGGATAATATATGAAATTAACTTTCCTTATTTTATAGATAAGGAAAAAGAAATTGTGAAAGGTGAATTTACCTAATTAGTGAAAGTTACATAACTAATTAATTACAGCAGTCTGTACTATATAATGCAGAGGATGATTCTCCCTATAATAGGAACTAGAAGCTATTACTAAAAATATATGTAGACAGAATTAAAAGAAGGAATGATAAGAATAAATTTAACTTACAAAATATTGTTAATTAAAATTTTAGATACTTAACATTTATTTAACTTAAGTAATAGATAACTTTGTCAGATAAAACTTGATTTTACTAATGAGCAGTGATTTTCTTAGGAATTGATGAAGGCTTATTGGTATCAAGAATTTAGACCAAATTAAAACTGACACAGGACATTTAGATACATAATAAAATTCGAGCTACATAAGTATATGGAAAATAATGTACCTTGATTATTATGAAATAGAGCGTCTTGAAATTCAGTTTTACTCCAAATGTACTTTTAATACTTACAGATTCTAAGATTACATTGTAAAATTCCAGGTTGTCATAATGTTAAGATAGGAAAGTAGAATATAAAGTATCAACAAGTGTGGTTATACGTTTTGTTTTAGATATTTAATTCTTACTTGGGGAAAAATCAACATCTAAGTAAATTATTGTTTTAATAACAACTTTAAATTGCCAACCTCTGAGAGGTGAAAAGCTATGTAAATAGAAGGAATGGCCAGTTCAAAAGAATAGTAGACGTGGTAGTGCCATGAATGTATTCTACTGGAAATGAATGTCATAATACATTAAATTTTTAAAATTGATTTCATTTTGTGTGTGTGTGTTTAACATGTTTTGACAAGTCTCTTGAAAAATGAGAAAAGCCTGATTTCAGTTCTTAACCTGTTTCGAATTGATGATGTGTACAAAAAATGCAGAAGCCTTTTTAAAAGTGTCTGTGTTTGGGAGACTTAAAACTTTCATTTGAATCTTAAAATATAGTTTGGGGTCAAATACAAACAGACTTACATATACATACATATATAAAGTCAATAGTTTTTGCTCTTCAGGTTTAAAGCAATATATTTGGTATTATTTTTATTACTTGTCTAATATTGCTAATTGTTGGATTTTGACATTTTCACATGTCGATGAAACATGAAGAGTTAGAAGCCCACATCTTTCATTTAGTTGGAAAAAAGAGAAATTATTTTAAAGACCCGGTTAGGGATTTGGCTGAAGACAGAAAATAATAGAATAACAAAGGGAGAGACCATGAGATGGAAGGAGGAAGAATAAGTTTGTTAATAAACGAAATAAACTAAATCAAATCCCACAGAACAATAGATGGCTGGTCCTGGAACTGTGTTGCTAACATGGATACAATAAAATATTAAGTGAAGATGTTCTATAAAACAAATCCATTAATTATTTAGAGTAAAATTTTCACAGTGCAAATTTTATTAGGGCTGAGACCCAGTTGTTAGGTTCTGGGAGAGAGAGGGAGGGAGGGAGGGAAAGATGGGTGGTAGGTATTGAGTGAAATGTGTGTATTTGTTGAGGTTAAAACAGGCTGTTTTCTCTATTAGAAAAAAAAATGTGTAGGACAAAGTAAATCCAATGTGAAAAGTAGGAGTTTCTGTCTTCAAATATTTAAGATCTAGGTCCTGAGGCAAAGCAAGAGTAGCTGTCAAGAGGTTGGAAAAGGCAGGGAAGTTTGATATTCTGTGCAGGAAGGGTGCTTGGTAAGTGGGGGCAGATGCTTGAGAGCTTTAACCCCACAGGAGCAGATGAGAGACAGGCTGTATTTTGGGGCAAGGGTAATAATGTTGCCAAGTACCTGCACCTTCAAAATGAGTCACTGACTGGAGGAATTACTTGTGAACATAAATTAAATACTAAAGACCTACCATCCTTCCAGGACAATCAGAATAGAATTCAAAAGAATTTCTGAAAGAGGGAGTGAAGTTTATTATATATGATAGATTTTCAAGTAATTCCATTTTTTTGCCCAAAACTAGAAATGGTCAAAAGAAAGGGCATTTAAATAATAAGGATGGCATAGGGAAAACAGGTAATCAGCAGCCTGAATTCTTGTTTGAGAAAAAAAAAAAAAATGAATTTTCAACTATGGGATGAATGTTTGGACATGTTAATTGGGCCAGGAGGCAAATTACTCATTCTATTTTTACTGAAGGATATCTATATATAGTTGTATTCATTGGTGGAAGTGACACTTTTAACTTTTATTTCTTCAAGACTTTTTTTTTTCTTGCTAAGGAGTCAAAGCCATAGCACTAGACAATAGATATTCCTCCTTTTTGCAACTCCTGGTATAGTGATAACTCTCCAGAATAGTGGATCTGCTGTAAAATTTTAAACAGATTTTAAGCTGGGGCGGGGGGAAACTTTCTCCTAATGGAAACATTTTTCTTTCTCACTAGAAGCCTGATAAGAGACAGACAAACTCAGCATAAAGAATGAAAAAATGCCCTGGCTTTCCATTCCTGGGCTCATGGGAACGATACCAGACAAATTCTTTGCCTCACCTGTGGAGGATTAAGAACATTCTAACCACTTAACTTGTGAGGAGGTTTTATTTTTAGTAATGTGGAAGTTCCACCCAGCAGTAGAAATTGAAAATGGTACTCTTGTTTATTTTAAAACAGAGTAAGTGGACAAGTGATCTAGTCTGAAGTTTATTTTTGTTTACTTTTTATCCTGCCCATTTCACTCTAGCCTGAAATTGTTTGTTGGAGCAGTGTGATGTTCCGAACATCTCAGTAGAGTACTTTATAAATATTTATTACTACTCTCAGGTAGCGGTGAGCTGAAATCATCTCTATCAGTGGGGGTAAAAATGATTTAAACTGCCATTTATCCAACAGCTTTACTGCTAAGAGTTATTTTGCTTTTTTGTTAGGTTTACTTGTGTTTATGGAACAAATTTGAATAGTACCAAGGAGTTTGGAGAATTTGGAACTCCAAAGAAAAGATGCTGAAAGATGTGTGCAAATTCAAACCTCAGGTGCTTGGGTGGTCCTGCCATCATCCCCCCTCTATATCATACTGAGGGCTCCCATGGGAGTGAATCCACAGGTGGGAAGCCACTGGGAACTCTGTGTGTTCTGGGGTAACAGGAGAAAATACGCATGTATCTGTGTGGACCTCAAAGTTTTCATGGCTGTAGAAATGTCTATTATTATTTCCAAAAAATACCATATTTTTCTACAAATTACTAGGCTTGCCATACCAATCTTTTTTTTTAGTTCCCAGCCACTTCCTACATTCTCATGCAAAATAAACACATTTTTCATTCTATTATAATGGTAAATTTATCATATAAAGATCTTTGTTTTATACAGTGAAAACAGTATGTACATTCTCCTTGTTCAGTATATCTAACCAGTACTAATAAATTGTAATTTTTTGCAAATTTAGATTTCTGGACATTATAAAAGTATTTTTTACCTGTTGTTTACAAAATATTTCTAAGAATTACAGATCTCTATTTACAACAAACTTTTAAGGAAGCATAACTGTTTAGTGTATTCTCATAATACTAGTAATTTTTACACATGACTATATATAGAAGGTTGACAATTATTTTATCCTTAACCCCATAAAATGAATATTAGTAGTATTATCCCCATTTTACAGTTGGCTAAAATGGGGTAACTTCTCAAAGTCATGTTGTTAATAAATAGGAGAGCCAAAGCTTAAGCCCAAATACTTTACTCCAGATCCTTTCCTTTCTTACCAGAGCTATCCTAAAGATGTTTCCTAATAACTCTGCATTGACAAAAGCACTTCCAGGCTCAGTTTCCTTCTTTAGTCTCCTAAATTTTGCGTATTTTTCAGGTTGAATCTTCTACTCTACACATTTCTGCAGGACATTCTTTGGATCCCACATTTCTCTCTCCAATCCAACACACTTGCTTGGATGTCCCAGAATCTCCCAAATACTGCATGTCTAAAATTAAATTATCTTTTTTCCCCAAGCATCTTCCTGCTTCTGTATTCCTGTGTTATTATAATATTGCCTAACATGAAAGTTTGGGCACTGTTTTAATTTGTCTGCTTTATCCCTTACCCCACTCTACTTCTCAACCAAACAATCTCTTCAATCCTGTCTTTTTAATCTCTTAATACTTCTTGAATCTCGATATCTCCCTCTCTTTCCCTCTCCCTCTTCTCTCTCTCCCTCTGCCACCATCCTACTTCAGATCATTCACCTGGTTTCTGCATCAGCCCCTTAACACTGGTCTCCCTACTTTCTAGTTTCATTCCCAATCGATTCTTCACACTGCAGCCAAGGAGATCTTGCTAAGGAACAATCTCATCTAGTCTTTGCCTTACTTAAAACCCTTCAAAATAATGCCCCTCACTGTCCTTGGACAAAGGAAAAGTCTAATTTCCTAGCATGGCAAGTTACCTCTTCTCTTTCAACTTTCATCATTTTCCTTTCCTTCAACCTCTTATTATACCATGATTTATGTTCCTGCAGAGCCATAGACAAGCCTTCTAAATTTTCATTATGCATTAACATTCATTAAGGACCACCTGAGTAATTATGGCTAATTCCATATGTTACTAATCCAAGTAGAAATAATTTTTCATTTATTTAATATTCTAAACTGTACTTATAAACTATATTTTCATTTACATATCTCATGAGATTAAAAACTTCTATATCAGGAACTATAATACTTACCCCAGTTTTACAAATGAGCGCACTGAATCTGAGAGAAGTCAAGTCAGTTTCCCAAGGTAAACATAGGATATGGAAACTGACTGAAATTTAAGTCTTCTGAATCAAAGCCTATCACCTCTACCATACTATATGCCATACTGCTTCTGCCCTGTCTACTACACAAAGGTAAATGAATTACCTAATATTTAGCCCAACCCATTGAATAGCTGAACTAGACCATTTAAGTTTTTGTTTCTGTTTGGCTTGCCTCTATTTCATCTGCACCATGTGAACATCATAGGTGTGTTTAATAAATACCACTATCAAAATTCTGAAGCCACAAAAGCACACACTGCATCAGTGTTTACTAAAAGTATATTTGAATATAAACAGACTGTTAGGAATGGTTAAGACAGATAATAGAATCGTTAAAGGATGGGTGATCATGCCTGATGCTGCATAAGATTAAATATGCTAATCAGAGTTTGGATTTAGAGAACCCAGATAAATCCAAAGTAGAGCAAGAAAAGGTACTCAAATCTTCAGCTTCTTGCTTGTTGAAAATACATACTGCATTTTATCCATGTCTCCTTCAGAACTGAGCAATTTATGAAGGCTTTACCCAGGTGAGCTTATTATACATGCTTTTTTCTTCCTTTTTGAATGCCATATTCTCTATTTTAATCCTTGCTGTTCTAAATTAGTTCCTTGGCAAAGGATAATAGCAAAGGGAATATTATTTGAATGTTATATATGAAGACAATTTAATAACATTTCTTTCCAGTCACAAAATATCCAACAGCTGTTTGTAACTTATTTTGTTACCAAATTGAAAGGATGGATACATCCAAAGAAAATTCTAAATAATCAATATGTTTGGGCCTCTTTTATTTATGCTAAGAAAGACATCATGTGCACATTCGAATAAGCACCATCCATATCCTAATTTGGTTATTTCAAGTAAATTGTGCATTTGGAAAGCAAGGAAAATGCAACTGACAAGCTAGGCTTCTAAACATAATTGAAATTCATTCTGAATGCAGGAAGGGTCAGTTTTCATTTCAAAGCAGCAGACCTTGTTTTGAATTCCTATATTCTGCTTTGTTTCCATTGCAGCATTAAATTTACTAA